GGATGTCATTCCAGAGAAAAGATGGCAAAATTATTGAGATTTTCAAATGTGGCAATATTTGACAATTTATTTTAGAAATAAATTTGTAAACTTTTCACCTTCTGTAACCGTGCTAGATCCTTCTGTAGTCATGAGCAGTTATAAGAGTTTTGAATGACTCCAGTCATTTAATTAACAACAGGTTTTAATTAACATGTTACTGTGGAAGCTATCAGCGTAACTGCACCGGAAATGTCGTAAACTCTTCGCTATACGGACTATTTCGCAGACGGACTGGTCCCACGGTGTAATTTGACCGTTGTCATTTCTGCAGGTCAAGAAGGTATTTCACGTTAATTATTGCAATATTGTTGAGATTTTTCTGTTTTGAATATATAGGAGCACGGCAACATGATTTCCTCCGATACTACATAAATATTTATTCCCAGCAGACAGCGTAACCTGATAAACTGTAAAGACGGCGTGGATTTGACCGAAGACTGCTGCAGACAGCATAAAATCACAGCTGTTTGCGAAAACTCAGCATAACCTAAAATGTATTTATTTTTTTTGGTATTTTCACTGTGACTGTTTATTTAAACCATCTATGTAAAATAAGTCAGTAAATGTACGACTGTTAAGTCCTAGCAAAACTTTGCACTTAAGGTTTATAAACCTTATATGTAGCTACATGTAATAATCTCTTTAAAAACTATTTCCTGTGACACTATGAGGTTTCGGTACATGTGTTTACGGAACATTGGGATGACTGCCTTCACAAAGTGGTGTGTTTGTATTGTAATACCCATTCTGAACGTTTAAACATTGCGTCTGACAGATGTCCGCCATATTATAACAATTTAAAAGAGAGAAATGCTTTCAAACAATAAATACTAAATAAAAACAAACGAATCCTTCTGAAAACCTTGTGTGCAGGACACACAAGACATTTAAGACTTGTAGTACACTGAATCATAACTGTGTTTGTTTGGTGATTATCTTGTGTTTGTTTAAATTAGCATGATGTCCACTGATGTGCTGCTGGGATTTTCTTCTTTATCCATACACCATCTACTCTGTCTGAGCCATTGCATCCTCATCTAAGCAATACATTGTGCATTTCTATTTGAGCTCTGTCCTTTTATTATATTTTCTCCTATTTCCCCCCTGCCTTTTTTTCTGTCTGTCAGCTTACACTAGTCTATATTACATATAATATAATAACTGAAATATCACAAGTAAAAATGATGAAATAAGCATAAAACAAACACATTAACAGAGGAGCCTTTAGAGATTTTATAGTTCACACCTTGAAAAAGCAAAATGCGTTTGGCACAACATTCAGATTATAATTCTGATTGCAAAATACTAATAATTTTAAAAAGTATTTGTTTGGTAGAACAAAAAGAAGAAATATTTCACAATGTTGTGCTTTCGAGTTTTAGTGTGTTCTTTTAATTGAGTTTATGTAAATCCTGCATGGAGGAATGGATGATGACACACCAGATGAGGTTATTGCTGAGTTGAAGTCCAGGCCCATTGGAGGATGGGGTGTTGCTCAGATAGCCGCTGGCACTGGGCTTGCTGTATATGCCATGTGGGCAGGAATCCTCCAGCCTGGCTTCCGAAAAGTCCCCTTGAAGCTACAGGTTTGTCTACGTTGTCTGAAATAACCTTTTTTATAGCAGTGCTCTTGCATCACTCATTTTTACTTCAGCTCTTTGAAATTTCTCCCAGGTTCCCTACATTCCTGCCAGCAGAGCCCAAGTACAAAATGTGATGACCCTTCTCAGAGGTCGACAGGGAGGTCTTGTGGATTTAGGATCTGGTGATGGTCGTATAGTAAGTATAAACAACATATTTGGGCTACTTTTTTACTTGCACTGATAACTAACAGGGCTTCGATATGTTCCTAAGGTCTTGGAAGCCCATCAGCATGGCTTCATTCCTGCTGTCGGTTATGAGCTCAACCCCTGGCTTGTTCGCCTGGCCCGATTTTATGCATGGAGAGCAGGGCATCATGGAAAAGTATCGTATCGACGAGAAGACCTCTGGAAGGTTTGTCACTTGCGTGTGGTATCAGTGATGCTCGCATGCAAATTTGCAGAATTGCTTCACAAAAAATAAATAAATCTCTTGTAAGTAACCAAGCATGTTTATGAACGTTTCCAAGGTTTTTTTTATCATCATATTAATGTGACATTTAATACTTATGTAACTAAATGCTTCAGGAAAGCCAAATGCTTTATTTTGCTTGAAACAAAATTACTGTTAAAGCTGTTCGCTTATTTATATCCTTCCTTTTATCTCATCACAGGTGGACTTGACAAAATGCAAGAATGTCACTGTGTTTTTGGCTCCTAGTGTGGTGAGTAATATTGTGAACATATACATGAGCTATGAACTGTTTATAATGGGGAAATAAAGAATGAAAAATATTTTGGGTTCATCCAACATAGGATAAAAATAGATGTGGTACAGTGGATTATTGGCAGGCATAAGATAATTTTTATGAACATTATTATTAAGTATTGCCGTAATTTTAGATTTTCTCTTGTGTTTGCAGCTTTCGTTGTTGCAGGAGAAGTTAGAGGCCGAGCTGCCTGATGATGCCTTAGTGGTGGCAGGCCGTTTTCCCTTTCCTGACTGGAAACCTTGCATAATTGAGGGACATGGCGTGGACAGAGCTTGGGCATACAGCGTGCAAGAACAAAGACAGCACACTGTCAACAAAAATAACCTCACAGCCACAGAGTCTTTTACAGTGAACTAACCAAAGCCCTATATATGTATATATTTTTTTATTTTATTTATTTTTTTGCTCTCCTACAATTGTAACATGGACTTTTATTAATTTGCTGCTTTTATGACATAAATCACATTCACTGAAATGTGACAGATTTTTTCAACATCTGCAGCAGGATATTTCACACATGCTGCTGTTGCTTTACTCCTCTGTGGCCCGGGGACTGTGTTCACAAACAGAGAGAGAATCCTGTCAGAGAGCTTGAATAATGGTGTACTTATAAAAACTAAGTAATATAATTAATTCATAGTGTGAGTGTGAATGGTTGCCTGTGTCTCTGTGTTAGCACTGCGACAGACTGGCTAATTATTAGTCAGTTAGTCATCTAAGAAGGGAAGACTTTTAAATATTTATCTGCTCTGGAGTTTGCATTGCCACCCATATAATAAAGAGCTGTAAGTAACGTTCTGTTTTTGATACCATTATTTTAACTCTTTGTTGTATGTGTAATATTTGACTTAAGAGAAGTGTTTCAATCCCAGAATGCAGCAGGCTTTTCTGAAGTAGCAAAAGTGTAAATGCTCTGTGAATGTAGATTAAAGGTGCTTGGTGCTGGCAAAAATGTTCTGTGTGTGCAATGTGGCTTCAAGTAACTGAGCACATGGTATCCAAAGTGTCCATGCAGTAACAACAGCACAGTTGTTGTACTATATGCATTGCTGTATTCTTGTATGACACAGTAAGCTTTATAAATGTTATCTATGTATACATGCATGCATCTATCCTGTGTTGTAAATAATCATACATTGCTCCATTCTCTAGTGTTTTGTTCTTCTTTCGGCTGCTCACTTTAGGGGTCGCCAAAACAAACGATGCTACTGCTCTATCCCCAGCATCCACCTCTGTCACATCAACCGTCTGCATGTCCTTCTTCACTACATCTATCAATCTTCACTGTGGTCTTCCTCCATGTCAACCTTGCCTCTAACACTCTTACTAAACATCTCAACTTCAGCTCTATCCTGGTCACTTCCAGTGAAAAGCATAAAATCTTCAGCTCTTTCTTCAGTTTTTTTTGTCAGTGCCTTTTCCTCCAAACCATACACCAAAGCTATTATCTTTGATACTTTGAATTTCACTATTGCTTCTATCCTTCTGTCACGAATCACCCCTTACCCTTGTCTCCACCCACTTCTGCCTGCAGTCTCTTCTTTGCCTCTGTTGGGCTCTGTCCATCGCTTTGGATGGTTGAATGGAGGTATGTCAACTTGTCATTCAGACACGTGTTCTATCTTGCTTCTACTGGCTTTTATTTCACTTTAATTTTCTTTATTCCGGAACATACCTCCACCTCTCCAGCCTCCAGCCTGTCCTCAGTGTCCTGCACCACCCACACATACTTCCCTGGCACTCCTGACTTCCTCATGCAGTACCACAGTTCTTCTCTTGGCACCCTATATCATGTGCTTTCACTTTTAACCCACATCCATAGAGACAAAATGCCATTCCTTCTGACCTTCTCTGTACTTCTCCATCAACACTCAAAGCAAAAGTCGCATTTGTAGTGCTCTTTCTTGACATGGAGCTATACTGCTGCTCTAAATAACCTAGCTCCATCAACTCTTTTCCATAGCTTAATGGCATGGCTAATCAGCTTTATCCCTATTTAGTTATTACAGTTCTGTACTCACCATTGGTCTTGAATATCTGTACCAGTACACATCCATTCCTCAGACATCCTCTCACTTTCCAATATAGTGTTAAATAGTCTGGTTGTGGCATGTATAGCTATTCTTATGTAAATTATAAATCTTTCACCTTTACCTGTATAGTGAATACAATTCTCCTGTATATGACAATCTTGGGTTTTAAGTGCTAATAACTATCTGTTATATATAAGATATAGTGCAAACTTTATCAATGGTCCTTCTCCTGTTTATATAACCTTACTTCTTTGAAAGCCAGGCAAATTCCTGTATTTGTATGTTTGTGTGGGCGAGCCAGGTTTCAGCAGAAGCACAGTATTATAATAGCATTTTGCATAAGGCTTTTTAGGGGAAATGACAACATGAAACATATGAAGGTTTTTTTTTTTTAGAGTAAATTCATTCGTTTCATTTTACCTTTGTTCATAACTTTGAATTATTTAACAGTAAAGTGTTTTAATTTGAAAGCTATTACCGGAGACTGTGTTTTTTCTTAATGTGAGTGACTTGACAGAGCTGATTGGGTTGTTTGCAGCAAAAGAGGAAGTTGCAATGGAGACCCTGAAACCTGCAAGCTAGCTTTATTCTTGAGCCGCCCTAAGCACCGAGAAGGGGAATGACAGGAACAGTCGCTGATAGCATTTTATAATTATTGTTGTTGCGGATTTGTAAACGTTTATGTTTGTGCGTTTTTAAAGCCCGCTTTGACTTTAGAAATCGAGACTGTCGTGTCCGGACACAGGAGCATGTCTGCGGTTGACAGTTAGCGAACGAAAATTATTCCTTCATCCTTCTAGAAAAGCTAACTGGCTAGCCATCCGCTGCAGCGTTAGCAGCTAGGTAATTTAGCATCAAAATGCCTGACACAAAACGCTAATTAAAGCTGCACACTTACGTGGTGTCGGCTAGATGCTGACAAAACTATATTTCTGTATTCAACCTAACGGTGGAATTAGCGTTGAGCTGCAATGCGGCTAGCCTCTGGGCTCGGCATAGCTAATTTAATGTCAAGTCTTTATGCCTGGTAGTCGAAAACCGCTTTATTCGAGCAAGGTTAAAAAAAAAATATATATATATATACATTCAAAGCACAGTCAGCGAGGCCAGCCTTTGCTAGCTAGTTTTATGTAGATATCAGTTTAAGCAGTCGAGCTGAGCATGATGATAACCCTTTGCGGTTACGTTAGCCAGCAGTACCATAGCTAATGTTAGCCGCACGATTGGCTAACTGGGTAACTAATGTTGGCTTATTACTGTAATTAACCAGCGACTAAGTCAACTGAAGACAGCATCCGAGCCAGCTAAACATGGTAAGTATAATTTAAACTCTGGTATTTATCCAGTTGTTCATCTTTCTTCCTCCCTTCCTGCTGAGGGCTAACGCAATGGATAAGCTTAACTCTTTATTCTACTTCTGAATATAAAGATCTGTCATTAGTGAAGATAAATACATTAGCATACAACTGGCAGCGTATGGGGATACGTTGTATGCACTTATACCTGTATACCTTTTTTGTTATCTAACGGTTCTGAGGCCAGGTATTTCACAGGATGTGACAGCTCTTAAAGCCATTTTACGGCACAGGACGCCCATCTTGCAAAACCGAATATTTTGTTTGACTAGTGTTGAGTCTCGGCAAGTTGTGGCTTATTTGTGGAATTCAGACTTGCCTGGCATAGGGGCTAAAATCTCGATATGCTATCTTGCGTTCGGTAGGCAAGGCCCAACTTCATCCACATGATAAAACAAGGGTAGTGCCAAACTATATTACGATTAAGCCTGTGCTGTTGCCTTTTATAACTAAGTGCTTTAACCAAACAGCAAGCTGGTGTAATAATTGGCTATAAGAACAAGATACTTGTATGCCAGTGTATTGTTCTCTTTACTATGTGTGAACATGTGTATGAGGACTCTCTTTCTGTATTTAAGCATGATTGAGTGGTTATACCACGATTGTACACAAAAAACAAAGGAATTCCTCTAAAGACTTAGTGATTCTATGCTCTATATGGTGATGGATCGCTCATGTTGTTTGTACTTTACTTTCTATTACCTATTAGGCTTCAGAGGAGGCATCGCTGCGCGCACTAGAGGGCCTGATGACGGAGTTCTTTCATAGCTGCACAACTAATGAGCGAAAAAGAGAAATCGGTAAGTAAGGTCTTGCAAAACAGTACACTTAAGAAGTATGACCATGATGCAGTATTTTAAGGTTCCCATCAGGCTGGTCTGAAATGGAAACGACTCAGAGCAGTGTAAGAATGTGTAATTGAGGGTTAATGTGCCTACCCCATAATCATCCACAGTAACGTACAAACGTTTCATGCACGTTGACCACTCCTCCTCATTTCCTGTGTGATTACCTGTTTTTGCTCTTGAATAAATTCAAAATATCTACGGTAATTAAAGAAGAGCTAAAAATGTTTAATTAAATATGGAAAAAGGAACCTAATCAATGCATTTCTTGGTGAATGTTGGTCTGTCATTCATATCTGTGGATAGGTTGACCACAATGTGCTCATGTTGTGCGAGGCTAGTTGACTCTTAACTTTAAACATTTCTAATCGGTACCAGCCCTTGCTAATTGTTACCAGAAGTACTATACCATTAATATACCATTTAAAATGTCTCATAGCACATGCATTAACTTTAAAATTGTTATGTGCTTTATTAAAGGGAAACCTTTGTAGAGCTCAGTTCTTGGTTTAAAAAAAAAAAAGAAAGCTAAAGGAGCCTTTGTCTTTTGATGTAGATGAACGGTAGAGTTTCCTCTATGTGAAACTCTCTTGCCCTTATCCTTAAAATTCTTAAACGATAGTATATTTCTGCTTTGAATAGTCTGGATCTATAAATACAGAGATACTGTTGAGTGTCAGGATCATGTTTAAGGTGTTCTAAAATTGTTTTGTTTCTATAAAAACATTAATCTTTTGCATTCTTGGTTTTTTAAATCCACTTCCTGTGTTGTGACGCATTACTTTCAGTCTGATTGCTAGCGAGGTGCTAGTATTGAACTACTTCTGTGAGAGCTCATGCTTACTTCCTTTTTTCTGCAGAAGAGCTGCTGAATAACTTTGCACAGCAGACTGGAGCGTGGCGCCATTGCATGTTCTTCCTCTCCAATACTCGGAATGAGTATGTAATGATGTACAGTCTCACAGTATTTGAAGTAAGTCCTGTAGGTGGAAGATGCATGTTCTCAGTTCAAAGTACTAGCAAGAGCTTTCTCTCTTCTTCTTTTTTTCAACATTTTGTTTTCAGATAATTTTAGATACTTAATACATGCATACTGCAAGAAGAGGCATATGTTAACAAGAATGTATTTCATGGCCTTTTCCTGTTTCCTCATTTTTTATAATTCTGCAAGTGAAGTTAGTTAAAAGTGTAGCAAATTTACCACAGAATGAAAGAATGAGCATAAAGTGCCCTTTAAAAACTGCCTTTAACTTAAAATGTATATCTGAAATGCTTAATTTCTTTTTAATCTCATTATATTATGTTTCAGACTAATCTTAAATGGATTACATCTTTTATTTAATATAAAACCTTTACTGAAGTATTCCCTTTCTTGCATATGACATCCTACTTTTATCCGTGGGTTGTGGGGTTGTTGTACAGCTGATTGGGACTTGTGCCTTAATTCAACATAATTTAGAACTGAAAACATCAGCCTTGACTTTCTCACTATCTGTGGTGTATGTTAGAGTTAAAACCAAGCTATGAGATTTAGAGAATTTCCTGCAAGCTGTGATTCAAGTCTAGTGAGAGCTGGAGGGGGTTGCAATTAAAAGAAGAGATAAAAATACCTTAGTTTCATTCAGGAGTCAAGAGCACTGAAACCTCTGATTCTTAAGTGAAAGCTGTTAGGAACTACAACATTTTACCAGTCTATCACTAGAGTGGCCACTATTCCTCACTAAACGGCTGAGAATTTTCCCAATACACCTGAACAACTCAGAACACGGAAGCAAAATCCTGTGGTCTGATCCATTTGTTCCTAATTGCCTGTCCAGTTTATGGCTGCAATGAGATGAAGCCTGTCCAAGCTTTCATAAGACAAGACGCAGGGTACACCCTGGACAGGTCGCTGGTTCGTGGAACACAAAAAGTGTGTTTTGCCACACTGTGTGGAGGGAACCAAAGACAGGCAGCTGTTAGTAGCAGCAGCATGATGGGATGGTGTTTTTCTTAGATGGTGGATGGTCAGGAAGGTCAGATCGATGCTGGAAAATGATGAGCAGCCCTGTTCAGTGAAAGCCTTTTTTCCAGAGTGTAGTTGGCTTTCAGGCTGGTGATTTATAAATGTAATTGAGCAAGAGGGGAAAGAGCAGTAGCTTTGGGAAACATAGCAGACCTGAAAATCCTGCGCACTGATGCTCCCCATCATTGGTTCAACAATAAAAATTCCTCCAATAACGAAAGAAATGTTTTAAAATGTAAAAGGCTTGCAGGATCTTCCCCAAGACGATTTGAGATACTATACCTGGCAAAGGTGCTTTACCCAAGTGAAGGGTCCTTCCAATAAATTGACAAATATTTTTTCTTGGTCATTGTGGAGTTCTGTGCACAGATTGGGTGGGGAAAAAATAATCCTTTATAAGATGGGCCTAAGACATTGTGGAAGTGCACTGCACTGTTTGTATAAATATGTTTTTGTCATCTGTACACATGTTTTACAGTTGATTGTTAATTGTAATTTTCAGAACCTGGTAAACAAGATGTGGATTGGAGTTGCTTCCCAGGACAAGATGGAGATTCGCAGCTGTCTTCCCAAACTCCTCCTTGCTCAGCACAAATCTGTGCCCTATTTTATCCGTAATAAGCTTTGTAAAGTCATTGTAGACATTGGTCGCCAGGATTGGCCGATGTTCTACCACGATTTCTTTACAAACACCCTTCAGGTAAGGAGTAACCCTTGAAGCTGTTTTTCTGACCTGAGTGGTGTCTGTCATATTTTAGGCCTGTTTAGTGAACAAAATGACTTGGTTTGCAACAAAAGTTAGTGAGGGTGGTCTCTCAATATCAAACCACATCTTTGATATTGATGAAGTGTCAAAACTTGTCATTATCGGTACAGGGGAGGTCATCGTTATTGGTGGAAGGGTTAAGTAATGAAATGAAGCTGATGAAGACACAAAAGTTGCATTACAAAGCCAGAGCTTCTGTTGCATGGAACATATATAGGTTCTTGTGTAATTTGAAGTAGTCCTAAAAAATATCCCTTCTCTGTTCTTCCCTTCTGGTCACATTTATTCCAATTTCCTTTGAAGTTGTCTTTTGTTTTTCTTTTTTTTTTGTTGTTGTGTTTTTAATCAATTTGCTGTACTTATGTCAGCATTTTAAGTTTGCACAAAGATGTTTTGAGGAAGTGGCACAGTCTTAAATAGAGAAGTTCAGTTATAATCCAAGAAAAATACATTTTTGTTTTAATCTCATGAAATATCTGAAATAAACCCAAATGATTTCTGCATTAAGTTGTTCATTCAGAGTGGTAAGCCACATGAACTAGAGCTTGATATCATCTTGTCTCGTGGTGTGTTTTGCTAATCAATGCCTCCTTAAACAGCCAAACTTAGTATGTGTAATGCATTTGTTCTGTAAAGGGAAATTACATTCAATAAAGGTCCTTTTGTTTTATTCTAAAACAGTTGTGTTAGGCTTCAAGTGTACACAACGAAATAACCTGATCTGTTAACCAACTTCTATAAAGTCTGTCAGCAGGCTTTTAACCAAACAGCTTGGAAAGTATTTTGGAGAATTAGGTAGGTCACTAGGTAGTTGATAAAATTAACTTTTTGAACTGTGTGTGTGTGTCCGTCAATCTCCTGTCTATAGTTGATCCAGTCCCCGGCTCTGGCTCCACTGGGGTTGGTTATGTTAAAAACCACATCAGAAGAGCTTGCATGTCCTAGGGAAGACCTGAGTGTTGCCAGGAAAGAGGAGCTCCGCAAACTGCTGCTGGAGCAGGTGCCAACAGTGCTTGGACTGTTGACCGGTGAGGACAACCTTTAATGCTTTGTGAACTCTTAGTGCTACTTAACAGGGGTCTCTCCCTGTCCCCCTGCAACAAATTAATATTTGTTTTGTTTTGTTTTTTTGGAAGATTCAGAGGTGTCCCTATGTTCTAGCAAACAAACCCTTTTGCAACATTTTTGTTACTGAAATATAATTTTGAGGGATCTTAATATGCCACGTTTCAAAGGATGGAAAGGACAGTAGTAAATGCAGGTGTACTGTTAAGAGTAAAGTACTACTATATAAAAAATATAATAAGGTTTGCTAACTTTATTTAGGATCAAATATGACAAATCAGACAAATCTTTCAGTAGGTGTTAGTAACTGGGTACTTGTTTTCAGGAATTCTGGAGACATACTGGGACAAGCACAGTGTCATAGCTTCTACGCCGCCTCCCTCACCCACCTCAGGGGAAAGCAGTGAGTGAATTGTCCCTTTCAATGGTTAAAATGGGAAAGACTTAAAATTGTGAAACAGGAGTTTGTTTCTTCTTTATTAACCATAACATTTTGTGTTTTTGAATCAGTGGAATTGCTGGGCAGCTTGTTTCAAGGTAGCCAGTACTCAAAACTGCTTTGTCAGCCCATGGCAGCATTGGACAATGAGAGTCATCAGCTCTGTTGCCTTGTTTTGGAGTGCTTGGCCCACCTGTTCAGCTGGATCCCTTTGTCTACAAGTATTACGCCCACCTTGTTGGCATCCATTTTCCATTTTGCACGATTTGGCTGTGATCTTCGGCCAAAGGCCAAGACAGACTCCTTCATTTCTTCCAACTCCTCCTCCTCAAATGGACAGCTTAATCCTGGGACAATGCCACCAACATCAAATGGAGGAGAGCTAAACGGACAGCAAAACGAGGCTAACAAGGTGGACCGGGCCCGGCTTGGTTTACTTGCCATGACCTGTGTCAATGAACTGGTGTCAAAGAACTGCGTGCCAATGGATTTTGAGGAGTACTTGCTGCGAATGTTCCAGCAGACCTTCTTTCTTCTTCAAAGGCTGACACGAGAAAATAATGCTCATACAATCAAGAGCCGCTTACAGGAACTTGATGAGAGGTATGGCTCAATTCTTAATTTGACCAGAGCATTGGTGCATGAGCAAACTCGCTCTGTACAGCCATTTACTTACCCTATGACACAGGTATCAGCAGCATTCTCCCTCCATGTTATGTCATTGCCACTTACCAATTGGTATTTTGGTCGCACCCCACAATATGACATTATCACATAACTTTACTTGCCATATGATACTATTGCAATTTTGGACATCTATCAATAGTATTGCATTGGCATATATTGTTATTTATTACCTTTTTTCAACTTCATTATGTCCTCAGAGTTAACTTTGTCAATACCCAATCAGGAAAAAGTTATCTTACTTTTTTATGAGTCATACCAACACTGTCACTAAAACCTGCCATAAAAGATGGGAGTCAGTCTGCAATTGAGTGGGGTCAAGTTGGCAATTATGTGCAATCTGTTTCTGATAATACAGCAATTAACTGTGATAAATCATCGAAAATCGTGTATCTGTTGTTGTTTTCATAGACAGAAAATTCCTAATTAACCTTTAAATTTGCATTTAGCAACCTTTGTGTTTCATGGTTTTTAACTAGAATGCAACCAGCTGGCAGCCAGAGTTGTTCTTATTGACATGGACTCAGACTGATGATAATATGTTGGCAGTCTGCACCACAAGTTTCAGATGGGTTGCAGAATATGAAGAGATTGAGTACAAAGACCAGTCAGCTATTTTAAGTTGTTTGTTTGTTTTTTTTTGTTTTTCCTTTTTTGTCTGTCCTATGTATTGATTTTTTGGGGGGGGGTTCTGCCATCCCTATTGGTCTTTGTTAAGAATGTTTCCTTTTGCAAATATCTATTAGTTTCTTATAGGGCTGTTCGATATAACGATGTATATTGAATGACTATACAAAAACATCTATCGTTTCATTTTACGCTATCGTTTGTTTCGTGGTGTCGCAAAATAAACTGTTAACGGCAATATTTTTTCACCGTTTTGATGGTCACTGTAGAGGCTATAATAATTTCTTAAAGTTCTCTCTTTCTCTTATATTTAATATAACCACACTATGGACGGACAAGCGCCTGTTTTTATGCGTTGTGGTTAGCAACAACGACAGTAACAGCATTGCGTGTCCGCTTGTTTATGTTCCACAAACCTTTCACAATAAAGCTCAAGATCCTGTTGAGACTTTTCAAAATAAACTGAATCACGTGAAAGAGCTTTAAAAAAAGAGCCGTCAGGTGCTAAAAAATAAACCTTAGACTCAAACGTTAGAACAGGCTTTTCCCCGCAGCACGCCATGTAATAAATACTCACAAAGAAAACGGCGGCCTTTACAACTTATGTCTAAAAATGTATCGTTTCATACATCGGTTAAAACACTCGACTCCACCTACATGACGCGCAGCTGGAAACACAAACAAGTCGAGCTGCCCGAGATTCACAGAATTTACAGAAAATGTTACATTTTTGTGATTTATATCATTATCGGGACGATAGAATTCTTATATCGGGATATGAGATTTTGGTCATATCGCACAGCCCTAGTTTCTTATGTAATATATATATTTATTTAAATAGGCTGCTTGCAGGGTGATAAGTTGTATATATTTTATTTTGAAGATTATACTAGATGTAGTCATTTTTACCTGTGTCTCTTTCATTAAGCTTTTTTAAGACACATCTGTGACATTGTAAATTTTCATGAGTGGTCAGACACATGCGCCACATTGTTATGCCCTTAAACATTGCATCTGCAGGATTATAAAACATTATGATCAAGTTACATGCTGCACTTAATCTGATAAGTAATAATATTGTTGACCATTTAGACCAAATATATTTTGTATTTAATATTTCATGTTTTAAATGTAAGATGTATGTCCCGACTTTTTGCTTCAGTTATTCCTTTCTTATCTTGCAGTTACCTGGAAAAGTTTACAGACTTCCTGCGTCTGTTTGTCAGTGTTCACTTGAGGCGAATTGAGTCAAGTCCTCAGTTTCCTATTGTAGAGTTTCTTGCCCTGCTTTTTAAGTACACTTTCAACCAGGTAATGATTACCTTTTCCACGTTCATGCAATGCAGCTAAAGATTCTATGTAAACTTCCTTCTCATGCACATTTTTTTTTTTTTTTTAGCCCACCCATGAAGGCTATTTTGCCTGTTTGGACATTTGGAGTGTGTTTTTGGATTTTTTAACAACGAAAATCAAAAGCAGGCTACCAGACAGAGAAAGTGTCCTGAATAGGTAAGACGCTCAAGAGATATTTACAGAAACACTCAAAGAACTAAAGTTGATTTAATGATTTCCTATTTTGTCATTCATTCTTGAGTGTGAAATTGCTGTTGTGTAATGTATTCATGTGCCAACTGGGCAGGTACAAAGATGCCTTAGGTCTTCTGTTAAGGGAAGTTCTGAATCGCATACAGTTCAGATGCAATCAAGCCCAGTTAGAAGAGCTGGACGACGAGACTCTGGATGATGATGTAAGAACATTTAATAATGTAAAATTATTACAAATATCATCTGCACTGTTTCATATTATCTGTCTATCTTGTAGCCACATGAAGCATTAAATTTGCTTTAAGCATAAGTACAGACTAAAGAAATGGCTTTATCTTCAGTGTCTGACTACTCTGCTTCATTTTGTAACCATAGCAACAGACTGAGTGGCAAAGGTACCTGCGTCAGAGTCTGGAGGTGGTTGCCAAGGTGATGGAGCTGCTCCCATCCCATGCATTCTCTACTTTGGTAAGAAATCACTGTTGGTGTCACCTTTTGTATTTTGTAAGGCAGTTTAGAGACGTTTTAAATAGACCAGATCAGAGCTTTATTATTTTTAGATTTGGAAAATCTAGTAGCAGAAATGCTCATAACCTCATGATGACCCACTTATCAGCACAGTGTAGTTTCCTTAAACAGTGAAATCACTTGACAATGATGGCAAGAAGTATCTTCTGTTCTGCATTGTAAATTTTGTTGTAAAGGAGTACATTAATAGGTTGAACTGTCATCAAATACACACCAAGGTGTCTTAAGCCTCATTAGTACCTGCTCGGATTGACTCGCCATGGTTTTCAGGGTTTTCCATTAGGTCATAATGTAGTAGTGTAATAGTGTCATAATAGTACCTAAAATGTGACGTTGTCAGACTGCATGCCACCGATTGGCTGGTAGTAGCATCACTCGATGAGTCATGAGAATATCTCATTCACGAAAACCAATACCACCATCATTTCAAAGAAGATAATTTTGGCTTTATTATACTTGTTTATAACTCTTTTTATAAAACTGAATTAAATTTTATTTTGAACTTACTGCCTTAAAATTGAGTAGGTCTTTTAGTAATGATTTAAGTTGCCTGTGAGTTCTGAGGTTATAATAATGTGGGGGTGTTAGTACATGTAACAATTTCCTCCTTATTCTTCTTTTTGCTCTAAAGTTTCCAGTTCTTCAAGAAAACTTGGACGTATACCTCGGTTTACAGCAGTTTATTGTGACTACTGGCACAAGTAAGTACAATTTATTGATGGGGGGAAAAAACATTGCTTTTATGTCGACTCAAAAATGACATCACTTCTGTAGATTAAAATATTAGATCGATCCTGTAACATTTGTTTTCTTGTCTCTTTGTTGTTTTTATCTAGGTCGACGGCTAAATATCACTGCTGAGAACGACTGTCGCCGACTTCACTGTTCTCTCAGGGACCTCAGTTCCCTACTTCAGGCTGTTGGACGCTTGGCTGAGTATTTCATTGGAGATATTTTTGCTGCACGTTTCAGTGACGCCCTGGCTGTGGTAGAGAGGTAAGCGTGTGTTACAAATCAAGGTCAGCATAGCCAGACTTTGTTTGCTTTAGTTGGCTCAACAAAACCTCAAACTCCAGTTTGAGTTAATGATTATCAACTTTCTGTTAAGCTTGGCTTTCTGCTTCAGATTCTGTGCACGCTCAGATTAAAAAGGGTGATTTAACACATCATATTACAGTTCTTCAGCAAAAAAAAAAAGTTCCCTTTTAGTTCTGGTTACTCCAATCAGAGATGTTATCAATCAAGATAACATCTCTGATGTATAAAGAACATAAATAATATAACAGTACAATGAATCAGTGTTGCGAATAAGACGATAGATCCACCTTAAACTGGATACATTTAAATATTAAAGGGTTTAAAGAAAGCTTTAATGCGTTATAGCTTAACTAGCAAAAGTTCATATGTAGCCTCCTAACTTTAATCTTTCTTCATAGCAAACCCCTCCGAATCCTATGTTTGTATTTAAAAATGTACGCTGTTAGTGTTGCAGACTTTTGTCGCCAGCATTACAAAATCTTATCTTGACATTGCCTTCTCTTTTTTGTGTGTGTGATTTATTTAAGTTGCTCTTTGGTTGTATGAATTCTGAGTTCTTCATATTTTAACTGATGGTTTTAAGGAATGAGTAAAATATCAAAAAGGAACATTTGCCTCTTTTTTAAGATTGGTTGAAGTGACTTGTTATGGCTCCCAGACCAGCCTCTATGACCTGGAGACTGCTGTGCCTTCTGTGCTCAAACCAGACCTCATTGATGTGTGAGTATCATGTTTAAAGGAACATTGAACAGTAAAATTGTATATGTGATCAAACCATTAGAAATGAAAGACTCATGGAGTCAAAGACAGTGTCATGCAAAAGAGAACAGGGAGCTGAGCGTGTGAATAGCTATCGGGTTTGTGTGAAATGTTGTGGACACTGGACAGCCGCCCTTGCTGCACAGTTGCCTTGCATTCAGAGCAACCTCATGTTTTACATAATAAAATGACAGAATATTTTTATTCTGGCTTCAGTGTTTTATGTTCAGAAGATATGAGTTTTTGTGTGCCAAATACAATTAATGCTACCACGAACATGGCTTTAGACATGTCAAAGTTACACAAATTAGCAAATTAGGTAAGCAGTATAAGTAAGAAATGTGTTTTAACTCTGTGTGCGTATGTGGTTTCATTTGTTACAGACATGCACAGGCTCTTGCTGCTTTGCAAGCTTATTCTCACTGGCTTGCACAGTTTTACAGTGAAGTCCACAGTCAAAACCAGAGCCAGTTCATCAACCTCATTAAGTCTGCCATCGACGCCAGTAGCCCGCTCATCACAGCCAAGGTAGCTTCAATGTCAAGCATATTACAAATCCATCCTTAACTAATCAGCTATTTATATTTAGAAAATTGTTTTAGAAAGAATTTGTGCAGAATCTTTGACTTAAGTAAACCTGTGTTTATAAGAAACTGCATGTCACAGACACAGTAAGTTTCATGTTGCAACAGTGGTTTAAAAATTAAGGAAGAAGTATAATTTAGAAACTGTTAACCAAAGCTTGAAACATGCAGTCCATGTTCACGGTTTTTATATATGTCTTTAAGTTGATCTGAAACATCTGATCCATACAGTTTATCTTGCCCTAGCTTGTATTTATAACAAAATGTTGCAAATTTAAAGAGCTATAAAATATATTTTTCCACTTCTAGTCTGTTTAAAATTTTTTACACTTAAATGTTCAGGTACCGGAAAAGTTGATGCTGTCAGCGTGCCATCTGATGGTCTCCATAACCTCTACAGTGAGGCCTGTGTTCTTGGTCACTTTGCCAGCTGTTCAAAACATCTTCAACCAGATTACTACACAAAATCAGACACGCAGACTTCCCCAGGAGGTAAATAGTGTACTTTTATTTTCCATCAATCATTATATAGTATCACGTTTCAATCATAGCATAACAATGTGAATATGTACATTTGTTTAAAATTTTGTCGCCAATTTAAATTTTCTGTGTGACCTTGAACATGAAGTAAATGAAGTAATCTTCTCGTACAGGCTCACATGTTGGTGTGTAGGGCTTTATCCAATATGCTGCTGCTCCCTTGGCCAAATTTACCAGAGAGTGAACAACAGTGGCAGACACGCTCAAGCAACCACGCCAGCCTGCTGGCTGCGCTCACTCGAGAATATCGTATCTTAAGAGGCACAGTGAACATTACTTCACGGCAGCCTGGCCTGAATGACAGTCAGTATTTACTTAGGTTTCATAACTCCTTATCTCTTTTAATTTTATTATTCTGAGTCACTTTTTGTCCACCTAATTATGTTTTCTCTCGTGTAGTCAAAGCAGTCATACAGCAGACTCTGCCTGTGCTCAGAGACATAGTGGACAGTGTCTCCAGTGAATCCACCAAGTCACGTCAGATCTGTTATCAGAGTCTTCAGGAGTCTGTCCAAGTGTCCCTCACCCATTTTCCAGTGTTTATTCAGCAGCCAGGTCAGTTTAATATCTGTGGTTTGTGTCATTCTCAGTCTTAATGCCACAGCACATTCACAAGTTTTTGAACTTTTTCCTTCCAAACACCTTTTAATCAGCATATGGTGCTAAGATGCAGTATTTCCTTCTTTTTTGTTTTTACAGATTAATTTGTATTCTACTGCTGACTGACACAAATTTTCTATAAAATATGTTCATTTCACCACATGATAGCCAACAGCCAGTACTGAGATTAAAAACACAGTCCAAATCAAAAATGGACTTTAATTAAGCTTGTGGCTTTTTTTTTTTTTTCATGGTTTTGATCGCCTTTTTAAATTTAAATACTTAATCTAAAATATTTATGATGATTTCAAACATAATTACAAAATTAAGAAATCTTTTATACATTCACTCAGGCTATTATCTCAACCCAGCCCATCTTTAATGGTCCACTTTTGCCTCTTTTCTGCTGGCACTCGACTTTTTTTTTTTGCCGTTTTCCATTACAATTGAGTATCACATCAGTGTGGGTGGGATCATAGCAACATGGCCCAGAAGTCCCATAATTGTGACACAAATGCAACACAACAATGGATGACATCAAGGCGATGGTATACCTGCTGCTAAAACTGGGCAGACACTGTGCGATATTTTTTTTTTTTTTTTTTTTTTTTTTTTTTCAGTTGCGTTATTCAGATTCTGCTCAAACTGCACATTGACTCGCAGGGGTTAGAAGTTCGTAGGTCACGATGCAGGGTCTCACACTATACGGCCCGATGCTCTGATGCGACCCGAGTGCTCACACTGTGCGTCCATAAAATGAAGGTTATAACAGAAATTCTGTCGCTGACTTTAACCCCTGCATGCAAGATAATTTCATGTAACACCATACCAGATCCACATGTTAGGTAATCGCTTCAGTTTTGTTAATTGTCACTTCTCTTTCGCAGATGTGACAGATGAGATGTTGGCCTTCTTCTTGACGTTGTTCCAGGCGTTACGAGTCCAGATGGGTGTTGCTTTCACAGGACAGATCATCCACACGTTTCTTAGCATGTTCACCAGGTTAAAAAAAGCTTCTAGCTCAAGACGTCATGTCAAACAATAGCCACCTGTTGCAGTCACATTTATCTTACGTCATCTTAACACTGAGTAACTTCTGTTGTTTTCATTTGCTCTAGGGAGCAGCTGGCAGCCAGTATTTTGCATGAGGGCAGTGCAGGGTGTAGGGTGGTGCAGAAGTTCCTGAAAATCCTACAGGTGGTGGTGCAAGAGCCCGGTCAAGCTTTTAAGCCCTTCCTACCCAGCATCCTTTCTTTGTGCATGGAGCAGGTCTACCCAGTGGTGGCAGAGGTCAGTTGCATCACTGTTTTGTTTGAGTTGTGGTTATGCTCTAAAATGTCATCTGTGATATCACTTCTTTTTTAAGAAATTACACATACTGTACCTTACTAAAATATGAATGGATGAATCTCTGGTTTGTTTGACAGCGATCCTCTCCAGACATCAAGGCCGAGATGTTTGAGTTGCTATACCAAATACTTCACCAAAACTGGAGGTACTTCTTTAAAACTTCAGTCTTAACAAGTGTCCAAAGAGGAGATTCAGAAGACACAATGGAAAATGAGGCCCAGTTCACAGCGGCCATGCAGGTGCGTTCATGCATATAGAACAGCCCTAATCCTTGTAATGTGACGTTTAAAGAATTTATAATTGTAATGTCAGCTGTAGGAGAGGTGATTGTTGATATTGTTGAATCTCATCCCACTAAATTTCCTGACGTGTGCTGATATTTTCCAGGCTTTTGGACAGTCTTTCCTGCAGCCTGATATCCACATTTTCAAGCAGAATCTGTGCTATCTGGAGTCTCTCAACAGCAAGCACAAGTTATACCACAGAGTGAGTTCAACTTTGTCAGGATCGTTGATTTTTAGGAGCAAGGGCATAAACAAACCCGTTCTCTTTAAGTAGTCTGCCACAGTCTCAGGTCTTTAATGGTGCACAGATTTCACTTTTTGTGTATCTGCAAGTGCAGCATATTCATAATAATGTTAAACTAACTGTTAGAGCCATCAGTGTAAGTTCAGCTTTAGAATTGAAACTAGTGGTCTAAATACAATTTATTGGACTTGATACTGGACAGTAATTATTGCTGCTAGTCAAATGATCTATACAGTGGATACAAAAACATTGCAGATTCTACCTTCGGCCAAATAAGAGATTATACGTAACTAATGAAATGTGGCTCCTTATTTAACATGTAACATCCTGTTAATTCCAAAAGGTGGAACTAGTGCTCTATTTTTGTTTCTGTTTTAGATGTTAATAGTATGACAGTAATTTTTTTGGATCACAGTTTCTAATTTACAGAAATCTTAAGCCAAACCAACTGGCACTCCTTCTAACTAGTTAGTGTGACTCTAATAATAAGTAGGTTTAAATTAATTTAAATGATTTAATGTATTTATTTTGATTATCTGTAATTAAAGCAGCAGTGAATGGGTCCCAACATCACAATTCTTGCACAGTGCAACTAAGGCAGCACACATTTCCCTCGTCCACATGTGTGAATTCTATAGCACGTACTAACGTTACTCTCATTTTCGGGGTTTTTTTTTGGGGGTTTTGTGTGTGTGTGTGTTTCAGAAGCTTTTCCGGACCTCAATGCTCTTCCACTTCATCAATGTGCTGCTGCAAGTCCTTCTCCACAAAAGTCACGACCTTCTTCAGGAGGAAATCACCCTCGCCATTTACAACATGGCCTCTGTTGACTTTGATGCCTTTTATTCGGCCTTCATGCCGGAATTCCTCAATGGCTGCCACGGTGTGGACAGCAGCCAACGAGCTGTTCTCGCACGTAATTTCAAGCTGGAACAGGTAAGTTCAGTGGCACTTTCTAAAAAAAAAAAATGCTGCACGTGTTGTTCTGTGGGCTTGCAAGTTATTGTCCCCCAATAGGTTAATATGGGTAAATATATCTCAGGGGCTGTTGGCACACACAGGAATTTCCACTTGTTGCACAAATAATTTGGCAACAATACTTAGATTGCTCCAACAGCAGCTACATAGAAATCAAATTAGTCTTTTTTTTTTTTCTTTCTTTAGAACTGTAATAGCTTATCTGCTATTTGCTGCTACCCCATCTCCTTGCATTCTGTTAAACTTTGGCTGCACAGTAAATAATTAGTTAACATTATAAAAACACGCAGGTGTTTTAATTTGTCTGATAAGACCACTCCTCTGGACTGTTTTTGTTTTTTGTTTTGTTTTTTGGGTTGTTGTTCATGTGTGGATGTGCATAAATGACATTTTTCAGAGTTTCTGGTTGTGCAGGCAAAACTACTCCCTTATTTTTCTTCGAACTTACATGAGTTTGTAGCCCTCACATCAGTCACAGTGAACATCCGCCAACCTCTAAGTCTAACAAAGTAAATAAACACCCTTCGTGCTGCTGTATATTAATGTTGACATACTGGGTATAATGAGAGCCACCATAGTGGAGCCAGCCAACTTCCTGTTCATCCATTTCTACAAAAATTAGCTGAAGGTAGGGAAGCCAGTTCGGTCTGTGCGTGCATTTACCTAATGTCTGTTGATTGGTCTATTTAAAGATTTGCAACAAGACGTAGCCACTTGATGGCACCAGTTTCCGCACATTAATTAAAAGCTAATAATCTTTAACTGTGTGTATAAGAAATAGCTTGTTGTGGTGGTCTCTGTGATGATGCACACTCTCAGCCTGCTGCTGCTATTTCATGCTTAAAATGGAATATTAATTCTGGACTACAGTATTCCCGCGCCACATTATGGTTCACCTTTCGTGGACTCACTACATCACAGTCTGTAAATTTATGTCACTCAAATTTAGCAGAATTTCACTTACTGTGTAAATCAAGGGAATACTGTATTTCAGCACCTCGTGTAAAACGAGGTGGTTTAGGGGGTGGGAGTTGTTGAGATTTTGGGGAAAACCTATATATTATAGCTTCACTATTCTATCAGTCATGGCTGTATCTACTTACTGGGCATGTGTTTTTGTGCATTTCTTTCATAAATTAATATTAGTGTCTGTTCCTTCTCCTCTTTCCTAAGGACCTGCCTTCGTTCACTCAAAGCGTTCAGCGGCTGGTGAACGATCTTCGCTACTACAGACTGTGCAACAGCAGCCTGCCCACTGGCACCATCAAGCTATAGCACGATGACTGTTTGAACCACTCCACATACCGTCAGGACTGCCTGTGCTGACCACTTTCCCCGACACTCCTCCAATTCAGCTGTGCTCCACCTTTTCAAAGTAATAGGATGGAGCAACACACATTGTTCGGTTAGGTAATTGGAGGCTGAGGATGCTGCTGATGTTTTTATTTGATTTCTACTGTAGAAGGTTGGCACATTATTATTTTTAAGGCAGTGCCCTCCTTGTGAATTGCCAATGAGTTTGGTGAGAAATGTAAACCTGGTCTGCATTTGGCTTTTGCCCAGACCTGGAGCAGTCTGAGCCAGGCCTTCTTTCCCACGCCTCTGCAACAAAGCTGGGCTGGGACAGAGCACTTTCAACTCATTTTGAGTTTTGTTTTAGTTTTCTTTAATGTCTGCTTTTATTCATTTTGCCTTTTTAATCTCCAAAGGAGAGAGACTCTCAACTTAAGATCTTTCATATCATTCCATTCTGAAAAGAGAAAACCTGCTTGAATAATAAAGTGCTTTTTTAATAAAACCTTTGGCTGGTCTCTGTGCCCTCTGCTGGTCATCTTATAGTATTCATAATGAGAATTTTTTTTATTAGAGATTATGTTTTCCTTTACTTCACTACAATCATCTACTGTAGAATATGTTTTAGACTTTTTATTTATTTTTTGTTTTGTTTATTTGTAATTGTCAGGGACCAAGCAGTAAAGCATAAAGGACACAGGTGGTTTTAATTCAACAAAGGGGTTTTATTGACCCAAAAATATGAAAACATATTTAACAAAGCCAAAACTTAAACAGGCAGACCAATAAAAGAGGTCAACTCAATAGACTAAACTCAAGATAATAATTAACAAAACCTCAAACAAACATATGATAAACTGACCTGCTGAAATGACACACAGGGGAACTTAAATATCGGTTTAGCTAAACCAAATGACACACACGGGGGGAAACAAGACGGCTGCCATATAACCAACTAATACAAAACAATGAAACAAACATGAAACACCCCCCAGGCAATGAAGCATGTGGTGCAATCCAATTAGGCTGTCAGTGGTACTTCAGGTCTCGCAGCCCTTTGCCACACCTTTTGCCAGACAGGAGAAGCCAACCCCCAGGTAACTCAAACAAAGAAAGATGTATTAATATAAAATAAAGCAGAACTTTGACCTTGCAAGGTTAATATGTGTGCACGCCATATAAACATTGGAAGGTGTGATGGAAAAATAAATACATTTAATAAAGAAACAATATTGAACAATAAATAGAATATTTTAAAGTAGTGACTGTAAATTAAACTAAAGTGAATCAACAGGTGGTGAGGTGTGGAGCTTACCATGTGTGGCATGCCATCACAGTAATATGCAAAAAATGTTCCTTTTCTGATCCACTGGATCAGGCAGAACATGTCTTAACTCTAAGAAAAAAACCAACAGAAGCCTTGAAACATGACATCACATAAAATCAATCACATGACAAATATGTGCAGACTCACATGTACAAGGTGGAAAAGAACAATGGTGCATTTTCATAAATTATGAAAAGATGTCACAAACTCAAGCAGCAAAGACATGGCTCTAATGTTGTCTGGCTTTGTGTATCCTAAGCTTACATTAAATGTGACTGTTTAGTGGACTCTGTCAAGTGCACTCAGTTTGATAAGAGAGGATTTTGGTTACAAAATTTCACCTTGATGCTGATTAGTACCGTGCAGTCTAGTCAGCGTCAAGCCTAGACTGCAAAAAAGATGATGCTTAGGAAAATTTAAAGGGAGCAGCAGTTTATTGAAAAATCTGCAAATATAAATCCACATATAAGGGAATTTTAACAAAACTGAAGTCAATATGACCAACTTTATACGTCTGCACTGTCTGTATTGGCGTGGCTGTATGTCAGGTGGCAGAGCAGGTCAGCTACTGGAAGGTTGGTGGTTCTGCTCCAGTCAGGATACTAACCCCATGTTGCTCTCCGATGCATCTATCGGAGTGTGAAAGTGTCTGGATGTTAGATACGGAGCACTTAACACTTTAGAAAAAAAGTGATTGGGTGAATGAATTTGTTGTATAAAGTGCTTTAAGTCCTCAGAGTAGAAAAGCGCTATATAAGAACCAGTTCATTTACCATGAACTCTCTTAGTCACGCTGTCTTGTAATGTACCTAATTAGTCTTCAGGAATAGTTCTCTTCAGGCTTCTTGAAGCACGTTCAAAGCTCTTCTCTGGATGTTGGCTGCATTTTTCCTGTCCTTTTTCAACATGATGCCACGCTGCTTCAGTAATGTTGCAGTCTGGGCTCTGGAGAGGCCGATCCATGTCTCATCTAAGTGCTCCATTTTGTGTTTTTCTATCCAGGTATGATTTTGCTACACTCCTTTGTGATCATTGTCATGCTGACTAATGAAGCTGTTGCCTGGTGGTATTTCATGCTGGATGATAATCTGACTACTTTTCTGCATTCATAATTTCCTCAACCCTTTCACCATGTTACAAATGACTAGACATTCACTGTTGTACATTTATCCTGACCACCTCTATATTACTGAAAATGACTTGAACCAAAGTTTTCAAAAGTGAGTTCATCACTCCATAAGACCTGTTGCCACTGAGATATGCTGTGACAGGAAAAAAGTATGTTTCCCCTTCCCGATTTCGGTTTTTAAATCATGAGTTAACTTATTAATGGAAAAAAGTTATCCAAACCTACCTTCATGAATCATGAGTTAATTGTGATTAACCACATTTTTCCTTCTTTTTTTTTTCTTCTTTTTTTTTTTGAAAGCTGAGTTCAGTTTCACTCACCACACCCAGGACAGATTACTGCCAGACCTGTTGGATCAAGAAATCACTTAACCAGAACCTGTCTGACAAAGTAAGATACGCAAAAAAACAAAGAAAAAGCAGCACATGACACAATTATCCACAAATGGAGAAAATTTGAAACAGTGGTGAATGGTGAATGCACTGACGACTCGTCCAGGTGTTCACATATAACCCAGAACAACATCTAGTTCATGATTCAACAATAAGAAAGAGTCCAGGCAAAAAAGCCTCCACAGGAGTTCAAAGAAGAATACCAAAAAGAACTCTAAGGCTCATTTCACATTTACCAAAAACCATGTTAATGATCCCCAAGACTTCTGGGAAAATATTCTGTGGACTCAAGAAAAAAACCTGAACTTTTTAGAAGGTTTCAGTCCTGTTACATCTGCAAAAAACTAGAACAGCATTTCATAAAAAGAACATCATACCAACAGTCAAACATGGTGGTGGTAGTGTGACGGTCTGAGTCTGCTTTGCTGCTTCAGACCTTGACGACTTGCTGTAATCGATTGAACTATCTTTGTCGAATATTAAAATTTGTTTGATAAACTGAAATATGAAAGAGTGACAAATACTCAGAAAACTAAGAAACCAGGAAGGCGACAAATACTTTTTCATACAGTCCTGTATATCCAATTTGTTAAGCTTGTATTTGATGCTGATCAAATCCTTAATTTCAGTGAAGTTCTAGTTACATCCACAGGTCATTTAAATATTTTTGTTGAAATACCACCTAACAGTTGCAATTGTAAATTGCGGTAAGTGCCAGATCTAAAGAAAATCACAGATTTGCAAATGTGAGTTGTGGAGGCTGAATGACTAACAGACATCTGGCAAGTACAGATGTTACTTTAAAACAACAAAAAGATGCGTTTCGGAGGCTGAATGGTCATAAAATGGCCATTTTAACATATCTTTGCTTCTGCTTTGCGTCTCCTAAGTGTTTTGTTATTATTTAGAAATACACATTTTCAACAAAAAAAAGGGCAAAGTGAAGAGCAAGATCAGTGTTCAGCTCTTAAACTGAGCTGGATTTCACCTGCAGAAAGGCGAAAATATCAACTAAATAAGATTTATGCGTGGAAGTGTTTCTTTTGAAATCCATCGGGTTGAAAGCGAAGGGAGATTTTGAGTGACGCACGCGTGTACGGAGAACTAACACAGGTCTGGCATCACTGGAGTTAAATTTCAGATTGAGTGACAATGAGGAGAGACGCACAGAGGGATCACTCGTGAGTTTTTATTGATGAGGGTTGACTTCACTCAGAGGCTGATAAAACGCACGTCACATTACGGCCATGCTGCAGCTGCGCGTTTTTAACAGACTTCTCCAACACTTTTATTGGAGGACTCAAGAATCCACAAAAGGTCTGTTACCTGGTTTTCCTTCTCAGCTGTGGGGTGGGTACAGATCTACCTGGCGAAGAAACAAATCAAGTAAGTGACTCATTTTGTACCAGCTGCTAAGTAAAGCCATATGTTTTGCATAGTAGATAAGTATTAGTCCTTCAGATAGAACTTACGCGATTCGTTTGTTAAGAAGTGGCGATTTAAAGCAGTTGGATGCAAATTTTATGTTTTTAAGTGAATGTTCATGAATTGCGAATTAAAAATGTGCACAGTATCTTGAATACGCGATTTTACACAGTGAAAATGACACTCAAACTGTCACTGTCGAAACCGATTTTAAAAGATTTCTGTTAGCACCGAGTCTAACAAACTTTAGTCTGTTAGACTCGGTCCAAGGCGCAGAGTCCAAGGCAAAGTTTATTTGACCCAAACTTAACGGACACATTTGGGAAAACAAACTTGCTTGCCAAAAGCTCGGGTCATGAACTGGAACTAGGTTAGGGGTACAAAAGTTAAACGGTGCGCAATACCGACACACAAAACGCAAGTCCCATACAACACACCCAAACCTCTTTGCCAGAACCAGACTTCCATCCAGCCCGCTATGGTGTCGCTGTATTTCGCTGTCACAGCCGGTCTTAAAGATGCAAGGAGACTGCAGTTCTCGTGGATAGTCACGTGTGAATAATTGATAGCGTGCAGTCATTCATAAGGGGCTGTGTGCAGCTTCTATTCTGTGTGTTCTGTAGCTAAACAAAAGCCATACCTCTCATATGCAGTTTTGTTCAGTGAGGGTTGTTGGTCTGTTTTAGGGGTGCAAACTCGCATGCGCGCGTTAGTTTATTGTGTTGTGGGGACGTTGTGTCCCACACACACACACACAAATGCACGTCTGTGCGTGCTTGTGTGTTGATATGATAAATGTTGATATGATAAATACCACACATTTATAAACTGAGACACCTGCAGACTTTAGTTTGGTATTTTTTATAGTCTTCCCTGCAGTATGGTTAACAACCATTGCTCCTCTTTTGTGTCTGCTCACATCAGGTCTTCCAGATGTGAGGGAGAGGACTCTCATAGCCGTGAAACCAGATGGAGTTCAACGCCGTCTTGTCGGGCAAATAATTCACCGGTTTGAGCAGCGGGGATTCAAGCTGGTTGGCCTGAAGATGGTGCAGGTATAAGAGTTTGAAGTGTGTGTGTGTGTGTGTGTGTGTGTGTGTGTGTGTGTGTGTGTGTGTGATCTGCAAGTTTCTTGTTGAATCTGTCTCTGTTTGAAAGGCGTCTGAGGATCTCCTGTCTCAGCACTACCGTGAGCTGAGAGCTAAGCCCTTCTATCCTAGTCTGCAGCATTACATGACCTCAGGGCCTGTGGTGGTCATGGTGAGTGCTCCTCTGTCTGCCTCTTTCGAGGATACTCATGGTTTTCTCCTTGTTACTTTTCTGCTTATTCTTGTTATAGTTCTTCAGTAGGTTTGTCAGTCTTGCCAACACATGCTGCTTTACTTTTATTTAGGTATGGGAGGGGCCCAATGTAGTCCAGGCATCACGTAAAATGGTAGGACACACTAACCCAACTGAAGCCCAGGCGGGCACAGTCAGAGGAGATTTCAGCGTCCATGTCAGCAGGTAACCTGACTTTATTTCATTTCATTATGTGTGCTGATATTTGTGACATAAAACTGATTTTTAACATTAAAGCCTATGAAGGTATGTGCTTTTATGACGTGGCAGTACAGTAACCATGTGTGTTGGTCACTTAAAGGAACGTTGTCCATGCCAGTGATTCACTGGAGGGTGCTCAACGGGAGATCCAGCTGTGGTTTCAGGGAAAGGATCTCCTGAACTGGGAATGCTGCAACCAGAGCAACATGATGGAGGACTGAAGATGCTTGACAGTTCAAGGCAGTGAGAATCAGTAATAACTACCTCTTCTCCTGCTGCCTAATGACAGTGCCACCACAGTTTCTCTCTCTAAGTAATTTACCTCATTAAGTGCACTAAGAATCAAAAGATTTTTGCTAAAGCAAATGTGAGATTTTAGAAAACCAACTACGCATATGTACATATAATACAGTAGGCATCTTAGTCTTAGCATTGGATTATTATTGCTATACACCAACCAGCTACAACCATGGAAAAATACTGACTGGGACTACTGGGCATGCACTTAAGGTACCCCAAAGGCTAAGCGGCTCCTGATCTAGACCCTCTGCTTGTCAGTTTCTGCTTCATTCATGAAGGTAACTATCTTTTCAAAGAAAGAAAAATGAACAACAGCCAAAAAGTTAGAAAATCTCTGCAAATAGAGAGCAATGTTTAGGTGCAGAATGGCTGTAAAGTCTGCAAACAGCCATAATGAGATACAAAGTCCACACAAACAGATGTGAGTTTTGGATCACAAAGAAACACAAAACGATCACGGGCAAAAAATGTTTCTCTACCTTTTTTTTTTTAATTTTATTTTGATCTGCAAGTCTTTCAGTGTGCCTGCCTACTCCAGCAGAGTAATACATCTACCCACTTTGCAGAAATAATTCAGTAATGGTATGAAGAACATGACAGAAAGCTCGAAGTGTTGACTTGGCTTCCAAATTCCTCAGATTATGATCGGATTGAGTATCTGTGGGCCGTGCCAGAAAAACGAGTCTAACGCACAGAAATACAACCTTTTAGGTTAAGACTTGAAGGATCTGCTGCTAATGTCTTGGTGCTTGATACTACAGGGTCCAGTTAGAAGACTTATCAGAGCTGTTTTTGTATCATAATGGGTCTACAATATTAGACAGCTGGTCTTGATTTTTGTGACTGATGAGTGCATTGTTTCTGGTTAATAGTTATATGCATTTGGTCTAACAAAGAGAGAGAGAGTG